ACCCCAAAATGTCCTCTAATTCCATCTTATTTTTTGTGTGAAGTCAAACACACACAAGAAGCTACTCATGTGATCCCATGTGGGCATCTGAATCAGCTGCAGAAGCCACCAGCTGAGCTTTGCGCTGCACCGGTGCTGTGGTGGGAGAGAGCAAGGTTCTAGCCAGCCCTGGGGGCTGCACAGTGGCACCTGAGTGAGGAAGTCCTGCTGGATCAAACTAACCATGCAGACCAGCAAGAGGGACAGTGGCACAAGCTGTCTAGTTTACAGTAAATCAGTTCGAACTGATGAGGACTTGACTGTAGAAATTTTGGAGTGGCTAGTTCAGATAGGGCACTCCCACTTTAATCCCCATGTCATCCAAGTCTGCTAAGAATTTAGAGTTTCTGACATGCTGTGTCTACTTACACGATGGATTGTACAATTAATAAATGGGAAAATTGAAGGGATGTGCAGTTAAGGTAGTAGGATGACTTATTCTTTCAGCCTAGCACACCAGGCATTCAGCCCATGTATGTGTTCCTTTCCTATTAAAACCTAAATTTTTTTACGAAGTTTCAAAATTCTTTCTCAGCCCCTAAAAATGCTTAGTTTACCAAAAAGTGAAATATTTCTTGTTGGAGGTTTAAATATTATGTCTTGAAATCTTTATATCTATTTTCTGGTTTTGACTTGAGATAGTTAATTTTCTTGACAGTAGGTGGTATAAGGCTGTGTTTTGGATTTGTTGGAAACAGTGTTGGTAACACAGGGATGTTTTGGGTATCACTGAGCAGTGCTCACACAGGGTTAGGGCCTTTTCTGCTTCTCATTCCACCCCACCAGGGAGGAGGCTGGAGGACATAAGAAGTTGGGAGGGGACACAGCTGGGACAGTTGACCCTAAGTGATCACAGAAATATCCCATATGGCATCATGCTCAGCAGATGAAGCTGGGAGAAGAAGGAGGAAGGAAGGGACGTTCAGAATGATGGTGTTTGTCTTCCCAAGTCACCATTACATATGATGGAGCCCTGATGTCCTGGAGAATGGCTGAACACCTACCTGTTCAGAGGAAGTGGTGAAAGAATCCCTTGTTTTGCTTTCCTTGTGAACACAGCATTTGCTTCCCCTATTAAACTGTTTCTATCTCAACCCATGAATTCACTTACTTTTACTCTTCCTATTCTTTCACCCATCCCACTGTGGAATGTGAGTGGCTGGATAGGGCTTAGTTTCAAGCTGGGTTTAAACCATGACTATATATATATGTATATGTATGTGTGTAATCTGGACCAGTTGGACTGTTTTTCCTGCTCCCCATCCTCGCTTGAGACACCTCTGGTGGGCTTCCTTGCTGGCTATGTGCCACACCCTGGTCCCACAGTTTTCTGTCTCCTCTTGGTGGACTGACTTGCCTGCTGCTGCCTCTGTGTTAGGTTGCAGAGCTGGGCAGCAGCACGCTTTGTCAACAGACAGTGGTGCTCCCTGGGGTCAGGGCCAGGACAAAGCACAGGAAACACACCAAGGAGCATGAGACAAACTGTAAATGACTCTATTTGCATCAAATCTATTTGTGCAAGCAGCTGCTAGACATACTTCCTCCTGGAAAGGCTGCTATCAGTGGTATTACCATGTGGATAAAGAGTGCTAATTTTTTAAAGAGATTGATGGGATTTGTGGTGAAGCTGCAGCCCACCATGGCACAGGCAGAAGAGACCTCCACTCTAACACTAACCTGGAGAGGAAGTCTTGAACTGTAGTGCCATGTTTCTCCTCTCTCTCTGTCTGTCCAAGTGTTTTTAATAAGGGATGATTTTTCAGCCTGAGCACAGCAGTAGACAGTCTGAGCTTTCTGGAGCTGAGCTGGCATACAGGGACTGTACTTCTGGCTCCAGAGTTAGGATGAGTGGGGCCAGCTCAGATATTTCCAATGTAGTGTACAGGTCTAAATCTTTAGACTTAACCCCTGTGTTCACAGTGCACGGCCATTGAGATGTCATCTTTAGATGAGAGGAGCCAGCTGTTGTCTCTGGTAGTCAGCAAGACAGAGATCTGCATCTCTTCTGAATAGAAGGTGCACCTAATATTTTCAGAAATATTCCTACTTCCGTTAAAACCCAATCTTGTGATGTTACTCAGATTAAAAGGAAGGTTTTGATTCCTGGCTATGGAGTAAGTAATATGAGACCTACGCCTCTTGGAGAGAATGTTGCCACCATGATACCCCAGAGGTTTCCTTTCCTCTTTTCCAATGCCCAGGGCTGAAGCTGAGTATTTATTGACTGATGGGTGTTATGTCAGCCTTGGTTCACTGCACCACCAGTGCAGTGTAGAGGCTGTGCAGAGAGAGACCTCAAACACCCTGGTTGTAGCAGAAACTATAAAAGGGAAACAAGTCAAAGGCATTTGTGGGCTTTCTGCCCACCAGGATCTTATGGAAATGTATGGTTTTCACCTTGTTTTTCGAGGCTAGTGTGATATTGATACCTTTTCTTCTGTGGAAGTATTTTTCACAGTGCTTAGATTTATGCATGAAATTATCCATTTGGAGGAGCAGTCTGATCAATTACAAAGGTAATCCTTCACTGATGGGAACTGAGAAGGCTCTCTAATGCTTGCTCTGCAAGGCTTGCCAGGCTTATCGCTTATTCTGGTACAGAATTTTATGGACAGCCAATTTCACAGTTCCTAATTTAACCACATCAGCATGTCTTAAATCTGTCTTAAGCTGTAGCTGTTCTAAAATCTTTGGTGTTGATAAATATCTCAGTCTGCTGCCCATGAACAATATTAGCAGCTTTCTCTGACATTCACATTCAGTCAGATTATAAAAGTAAAACATCATCTAAAATATGGAAAACAGCTCTTTCCAAACTATTTAGAAACAGTACTTCAAGGCTGTTCTGGTAAACATGTAAAAATCGTTCCTCCAAGAACTTTCAGTAAACTGGCACTTAAAAAGGAGAGAAGCACCTCCCTCTGTGCTGTTCTTGGTGCTAAAATGCAGGAAGTCAGTGGCAGGTCCAAATCTCCAGCATGGTCCCTATTACATGAGCACTTGAGTGCCAGGTCAGGGGCACCATTCACCAAGGAGCATTCACCAATGTAGGCTTTTGTAAAGCTCTGGCTACAAGAGAAGGTAAAATTTGGCTGGGTACATCCCTGCCATGTTCGGGTTACGGTGTTCCAGTGATTTCTGACTGATAATGTTGTGAGCAAGAACAAACTTGGGCACAGAGTGATGCAAAAAGACCTACAATACAAGACAGTCAGATGCCACATTCTCCATCCAGTTTTGGAAGGCAGACCTGTGTACATAAGCAGGCCTATGTGTAACCAAAATATTAACATATATGGAATAGATGTTATGATTTTGGCTGTGTGGTCAAATTACTTGCCAAATTTCCAGTATTTTAATCATGATCTAATTTGAAATAATTAAAGAAAGTATGTTGTTTTTAGAACTACTTTCTTATCTCTAGGGCTATGAATATCATTGCAGTCATAGCTAGAATAGTTTTTTATAATAACCTGTAAGTTTAAGTGGTAAAATTTACAAAATGCTCTGTAAACAAAAGTCACCAAAGCAGATTGCTAACTTTTGATCCTCAACTCCATCCCAACAGTTGTGCCATAAGGTGATGTGGAAACCACGGGTTTAAACTTGTTAAGCTTTTATAAAATTGACCTGTAAAGTTTAAATCCAGGCCTGTATCTAAAATTCGACCCAATCCATGTTACATCTTCTACCAGATTCCTGACTGATGAGGATTCTTGACCTAGAAATCTAGGTCTGATTTGCTAGTGAGATCTTAAACCAATACGCATATCAAACACAGGCCGTATGAGGGAAAAGTATGGGGTTGAGTGGAAATGTAGGGACATATGTTTTATATTTGGTTTAGTTCGTTAGAAAACAGTATGCTCTTGACTTTTGGTCAATTAAAAACATAAAATAATGGAACATGATGGAAATTTACAATTCAGACTTTACTCTGCATTTCTTGTACAGATTCCTTATGACTTTTAGCACAAATAATAAATAAAATATCAGAATTGTAGTACCCACTTTTCTAAAATCAATTGCTTCAAATATCTTTGAGTCTAAACAACCATGATGTAATAACTCTAATAAATGGACACGTGCAAACTTACAAGCTTAGAACTTTCGTTTAAACTAAGGAACTCTTTGGCTTCAGCTAGCAAGAGCCTGGGCTTTGTTAATCAGATTTTTCTTGTATTCTTAAAATTGCATTTGTAGTCAGTTTCATTTGATTATGTTTTTGATTTGTCCAAACAGCAGATGGATATGGTAGAGTCTGTATTTAACTTGGCACTTTCCATTCCACATTCCTTTACTATTCATAGCACAGCAGACATAGCCATCTCCAGTAGACATAAAAGGAGGCAGTTCAACTTGCAGCTGCAGTTCCCCTCAAATGTGTGATTATTTACAGACTCACAGCATTATTTCTTTTTAATGTTGAGAAGACCAGATACTAGATATAGTGGGTGGATATTTTTCATCTCTGCCACTCTCATGAAAGAGTGGAACAGAAACTAAACCTGTGTCTGTAGTAAAAGGAACCTCTTCACTTAAAATTAGATTCATGTAGAGCCCATGTTCTTACAGAGAGAGTGGGACTATACATAGGCAGAAAAATTTGCTCTTGAAGAGAGAGTTGTGGAATCTCAGCCTAAATTGTCAAGCAACATGAAGAATAAAATACTCATCTGATTGAATAACAAGACTACCTAAAATGCATAAGAATAAAGGCATTTGTGTAAGAGTAATGTCTTTTTATTACCAGGTTTCACAATGAAGAATTTGATCCTTTTGAGCATTTGTAAGCAAAAATTTTTTTCTTCAGTTGATAACATAGTGGAAAATGTTAAACAAAACCAATTTTCTAAAATGTCTTTAAATGTTTTCTTTTAAATTAATTTGTCTTTGACAGAAAGTATAATTTCTACTTACTGTGTTTTCAAGCAAATATAGTCAGTGATTATTCTTTTTTATTATAGTTTCAAATATGCAATACACTTCTAAAAAATAGTCTCTCAAGACTTATTTTGGTATACAAGCTTGAACTGTGGAAATAGAGATTTTTTTCTTGATAGTATTTTTCAGTTTGTATGCTTTTCCAAAGAGAAGAATTTGATTTCAAAAATTAGAAAGCACCTTTTTTGCTACTTAAATTAAATTTCCATAACTTGTCTATTGCCCACAACTCAAAACTAACTTACAACTTGTCTATTGCTTCTTTAATCTTTATGACTATGTATGACAAATGCTTATTTCTTTAGAAATACAACTCCTCTTACTTAATTCAAAAATATACTTTATTTTTAATGTATTATAAAATAGATTTTTTTTCTCCTGCTGAGACTAGCCTAAGTTTGCTACTCTTCAGACAGCCTGGATTTCCAACATATATGTAGCTGGAGGCAAGCAGTCTAACATTCACATCAAACAATAAACTCAGCATACTGAAAAACATATGCAAAGGCTTTCCTTTACTGTAATATAAATACAGCCACATGCTTACCACACTCTACAGCGATGCATGAATGATATTACTTTGTTATATTAATTAAGAATGATTTTATCTCACCAATTACTACAGACAAGGTTCTAATTCTTTCCCACCAAGTTCTTCATTTCAACAACCAAAATGCCATCATGGCAGAAAAGTGCAGACAAGTCTTTGTTCTCCACCCCGTCAGGTAATTTGTACTGTCTGGTAAAGCTTCTGGATATGAAACCGTGTTCATCCATCCTGGGTCCGTGTTGAGCTTTAATCAGGAGCCAGCCTTCGAAAGTCTGGATAATGATATCTTCGGGACGGAACTGCACAACATCCAGCAAGACCTGGAAGTGTGTGTTTTCCTCCTCCTGGCCACTCTCCCCTGCCCCAGTCGTGCTTTCTGTGGTGCATCTTTGGTTGCTCAGTGCTGCTGTAGCAGGGCCCGGCAAAGCATATAAAAGGTGGTTCAGTTTGTGTGTTTCCAGCTCTTGGTCAGCAAACTGCTCCTGGTAGCGTACAGGAGTTTCCACCCAGTGTCTTATAACAGCTTCTGCCATGGCTGAGGCAGAAAGATCAGCTGCTACTCCTGCTGCCTTGGGAAGCTGCAGAGTCAGAGTGAGCCTTTCCCAGCCGTATGTCTCACCCACAGACTAGTCTATTGGTGGATGTCGCCCTTCACTTTTAGAACAGGCAAAGCTTAACATTTAATACAGGATCCTGTGCTCCAGTGCTGGGAGACTTGTTTCGTCTTTTATCCACTAACAATAGAGCACTATTTATAGTGCTGAGGCCTTGAGTGGCTTCAGCACGTGCCCAGCTTTCATGCATGACTAGTAAAAGCAAAATTTTAATGCACCTCAGATTATTGCAATATTATTTTGTTTATCATTATAAATAATGAGCACAAAAATAATATCTGATCGCAGGGCAAATAATGCCTGCAAGGGTAAATGGCTAAGAGAAAAGTGGAGTGAAAAGGGAAAAGCATTTCTAAATTTTAGCGTGTTTGCTAGAAAATCCCTATAGCTGGGCTTGGTAATGTAAAGTAGAATGTGTTGTGGCAACTGATGGTGAAAATTGTTTATTTCATTTATTAGTGCAACAATAGTTGCCCTAATGCTAGAAGTAATCAAACAAGATACTTTTATTCCTTCTTGTTTGGCTATTCTTGTTTAGAGTTCTATTTCTTGTCCTTACATGTTCCATTACCATGGAAATGGCAAGTCAATTCAAATGGGATTTTTGGTTCCTAATGGAGTAATGAAGAAAGTTACTTATTAAATTATTAAATTTTGATACTTATCAGAAATTAACTTCTTTATTGAGTTCATAGCAGAGCGGGATTACCAGATGTATCTATAATTGAAGCTCTATGTTTGCAGTCTTATTTTAAACCCCTAAAGGCGACATAGCAATGTAAGGAAATTTTCAAAAGTTAAAGATAACTTACATTAATGCATTTAATTGAGTATTGTGAGAAATGAAAGTTATACTACTTTATTGGCTTCTTCTGTTAAACTGCCCTCCAGAAATAATTTAAAAATGCTATTCTGGATGTTTGACTGACTGAAATTATAATAAAAACAACCTGGAGCATTGCCTGTTATCTGTTTGGCAGCTGTTTTCTGTTTTGCTAGCAAATTATTTACTTGATGAGGAAAACTTTAACCCTAAAGTGAAGCAGTATGCCTGGCTGGTTGTGATATTATACTTAAACATATTGCTGAAAACTATTGCTGTTCCTACTGAATTCCGTGATGATAACCTGACTTATTTCACTTCAGTTTTCCACTTCATTAATAAATGCACTGTGGAGGAATATAACTTTTTTTTTTTAATTTCATTTTAATTATTCACATAATCTCTGGAAAAAGGTAAACTTGCCCATACTTTAACTTAAAACACAAATCACCATCTCAGTGCAAGTCACTATGAGACAGCTGTATCTATTCCCAGAAGCAGCTGCGTTAGTCTTTCAAATGTCTATGTTAAGCATACTTGGAACTGTCTGTCTGCTATAATTAGCATGAAAGATGCTTTGAATACCCTTTAAATTCATGTCATATGCAAAACGCTGCAGAAGTTCGTAGGATCCCTTTCTACTCTGTATGATAAGGAAGCAGAAAGATTTTGGAAATGAAGCCTTCCCATCCTGCCCTCTCCTCTGTTGCAGTCTCTTCTTCTCTCAGTTTACCTCTGGTAGGCTCAGGAATTAGCATCGTGCTTCTTATCTCTTTGTTACTAACATGGGGAATATGACAAGTGGAAAAAGCAAACACCCGTGAAATGCAAACATCGATTTAGAATATGTTTTTGGGCTTTCAGATTTAAACATGGTTGCAGTGCTGCAATACCGAGGCACTTCTGATGCTTATGGTGCTGTACTCTTCAAGTATCTATAGCAGGATTTGGTTTGGAAATGCATTTTAATAGCAATTGATTACTGTGGTAATTTTAAACCTTCAGAGCTGATCCGTTAGGAGCAGGATCGATGTTCTAAATCTCCCAGGTCGATGCCCCAGGTTTCGTTTCCCGGTTTTACTGTGTACACAAAGGCCTCTCTCCGTACTGCCCAGCGGGCAGGAATCCACCGGCTGGCATGACAAAGTACAGCAGAGCACCCGGGCAGCTCGTCACGGCGGCCGTGCACTCGCCAGGCCCTGCTCTCTCTCGCTGACCAGACGTGTTGATTGTCTCCCAATCTCCTGCGGGTTTTGGAGATCAGGACCGGGATCCGCGTGATGCAGCAGGCCGCGAGAGTGCGGAGCCGGGATCAGCGGGGCGCAGCGGCATCTCCTGGAGAGGACGGGGAACAGCTGCGGGGGAAGACCCGCCGGCACGGGCGCCGCCACCTGCCTGTGGAACATTGCCCTGGGAACGCGCTTCTGCGGGAGGAAAAGCGGGATTTAATTTACAGCGCGCTATTTTCACGCTGGTATAAGTCTCAGTATTTTGGAAGGGGGTGGTGGTGGGATAAATATTTGATCCATGAATTCTGAGTTGCATCAAAAGCAACGTGGCGAGCAGATCGAGGGAGGTGATTCTCCCTCTCTGCTATGGTGAGACCCCACCTGGAGTCCTGCATCCAGCTCTGGAGTCCCCAGCATAAGATGGGCATAGATCTGTTAGAACAGGTCCAATGGAGAGACATCAAGATGGTCACAGGGCTGGAGAACCTCTCCTCTGGGGATAGGCTGAGAGAGTTGGGGAGCTGGGGTTGTTCAGCCTGGAGGAGAGCAGGCTCCAGCACCTTCCAGTATGTAAAGGGGGCTTTACAAGAGAGCTGGTGAGGAATTTTTGGCAAGGGCATGTAGTGATAGGACAAGAGGGAATGGCCTCAAACCGAATGAGAATAGGTTTAGATTAGGTATTAGGAAGAAAATCTTTACTGTGTGGGAGGTGAAGCATTGGAACAGGTTGACTGGAGAAGCTGTGGATTCCTCATCCCTGAAAGTGTTCAAGGCCAGGTTGGATGTGGCTTTGAGCAACCTAATCTACTGGGTGGCATCTCTGCTTATGGCAGGGGACTTAAAACTAGATAGTCTTTCAGATCTTTCATGTTCCCTTCCAATCCAAGCCTTTTTTGGATTCTGTGATGCTGTGAAATATAGACAGCAGGCATCCTGGTAAAGCTGTATTGTAAATTGTAAAAATGTAACATGAATAAAGTAATGAGAATAATGTATTTTTGATGCATGTTTTAAAGAAAATCAGGTTCACTCTGCTTGGCACCACTTTAAAATAATAAATTGCCCTGTCACAATCCTTGGTATGCTTGATTCCCCAAAGAGAAATTTGTTTTTTAGCTACCACTGAAATTCAGTAACAGCTGAAAAGGGAAAAATGTGAAAAGGCTGGCATGATGAAGTGAACGAGAACTCTTACAGCAGAAGCTAATGGGCTAATTTCAAATCAGTCATATAATTATCTAAATGAATTTAGGTGGAGCTCTGCAGTTACTTTTACCAAAGCAACCAAGGATCTACTCATGATCTACTTCCTGTGTCATTCAAAAGAGATATTGCCTCTTCAGACTGTGCAATACATATGAAACGTAAGGAAGGGTAAGACAGTGAGTTTTACCCGTGCTGTCTGTTACACCCAATATGGGAATATAAGCTCTGTTGTGATGCCAAAAAGCTAGATAGTAAAATCAAATACATGTGAGATTGGAATGGGGTGACACATAGAGAAACTCAGTGGTAAAGAGTTCCACGCAGTATTTAGTATATTCGTTTAGAGTGAGAAAGTTACTGTCTCCTACTTTCATCCCTTTGAGTCCATTGCTCCTTAGAACTATGAGCTGTCTTTTTAGCTGAATTGTTAGATCTAGAGATATGTAAACTCTGAAGGAATCAACAGTGTAACTGCAAATCCTGCAAATGCCTAATCAGCAAATACTGAGTGTTCTGTTTTCAAAAAATATTGAGGGATTTTTTTTTTTAGTAACATCTCATTCCAATCCAACATGCTGTTTATATTGTTTATATTGGTCAGTGAATCACAACATAACTCTTTCTGCAGCAAGACTTTGTGCTGTGTTGTAAAAATTCTTGCAAATAGTAAAGGGTGTGTTGTTACATAGCCAGCTTTACTGAAGGGAGGCTTCAGTCTGTGGGTCATGTCCTTCAAAACCTGGAAAAGGCTAGATCTGCCCAAACTTCTGGAAAATCTCTCCAGGGCACTGATGCTCTCTTGTAACTGTTAACTCAATGTCCTAATTTTAGAGGCCTTAAGAAGTGGAAAACTAATCCCAGCTTTTGCACTAAGGATTGTTTGCTCATTTTTTAGGAAGCACTGTAAGAAATATAAGTAATAATGGAATGGACTATGATTTTTACACATTACAACTACTATTAGAAGATTTTTTTTACACGTTCCAATGATAGAAGAGCAGATGAAGGATGAGGATGGAGGATGACAGGACCACAGCAGCTGCTGTTCGAGCAACGTCTTTACAGAACAGTGAAAGAATAAAAATGCAATTTGTGTAACAATGATTTTAAAATTTCAAGTTACTATAATAGTTATTTTAAAGTGATGTCATGGAACACTTTACCTGTATTTGCTTCGTTTTTCACATGGCTGATTTTTAAGCATTTCTGTGTCTGCTATAGGCAAATGCCTCTGTGCCTCACAAATGCTTGAAGAACTTCCATGGAAAGCAAACTCTTTAGAGTGATAATAATCTGTTTAATTCTTGCAGAGAGAACAGTTGAGAGAAAATGAACAATTAAAACAGGATAATGTGCCTAAGGACTGGAAAGCTCTGTTTTGCCACTGCAAGTCAGAATCTAATGCACTCTTGCTGTAGAAACAGTCTTACTTTTCACCAGTTAAAAATCAACTAGTGTTCCAAGAAGAATGCCAGTTTTCAGGTTTCTTCCTCTTCAGCCACCCTGAAGTCTTTACTTTAGACCTGATAGGATTAACTCAAGGCAGTGGAGTACAGTAAGACTGGTGTATTTATTTTAGATCTATTAAAACTTCATAGCTAGTGCTCACATGCATATCTAGCAAGTGAAACTCCTATTCCACGGATTTACAGCTTCAGACTCGCATGTTTTGAGGTTGACCACTTTAATAAAAATAACAGAAGTACTCACCTATGAAGTTCTGGAAGTAGCAATATTTTTGCTGTTTAAAATTATGTACTAAGGCTTCTTGGAGTAAGGGCTTGATAATCTAGGACCCACATTACACATAAAACATGCTAACCTGTAATTAGCACAAAACGCCCATTATCTCCTTTTGTTTAGATTTTTTTTCCCTAAGAACAAAATGAAGACTGAAGTTAAATAGTTAGGATGAATTGAAGACATGTGCTCTGGATATGTTTGTCAAAATAATTACCAGCCAAAAATAATTGAACTTACTAAATGAATTCTGAGATTTAAAAATTTCACTATGTCCAAATGTTGAAAAGGACTAAAGGTATAACTGAACAAACTTGTGTTTTCACAGCTACCATGAAAATATTGTATTATGACATATGTGTTTGAGTAAAAACAACACTATAGAATACTTATTTTCATGCATTTAAGAAATTTTAGAGCTGTGAACAATATTTTCTGAGTATTTGCTAGCAATATCAGATATTATCCAAGATATCAGCTGAATGGGCCTAGATATGAAGGTGGCTTGTGGCTCTAGCTGAAGTCTATGACTTTGGCACAGGATACTGAAAGAAACCACTGATTTAAGGTGCCCTGCATCTTTTGTGTCTTGTAGGTGCAACTGGAATCAGTGAGATGTTTCTTTAACATCAAGAATCCATGAAAACTTCTCAAATAACATAAGTCACTCAC